GCTTGTTCACCATCTAGAAATGTTTTCGTTGATAGAATGTGGAAATTGAAAATAGTCATTTTCCTAACAAGTGCGGAAAAGTGCGAACGACGCGCGTAACAAGAAAAATAATACATTGTAACAAATTGAAATCGTAAATACTTTAATAACAAAGAACGTATACCTAGTTGAATTTTATTCTATTATTATTAATATTGATTACAAAAGAACAGTTGCCGATATTTTGAAGATTTATGGCGAAAGACAAAATCCGTAGGGTGATAGTGCACTCAAACTATTTTTAAATTTAACACGACATTTCAATTACGACCTATAACTCAACTATTCAGAAATATTTTTTGATTTGTGAGGAATAGCATGATTAAGGCATTCCACCAAAATGCTATTTAAAAAAAAATACTTTTTACTGGGTTAAATCTTTCAAACTTTGATGTTATCCTTATATTTTACGTTCCAAGATATTTGGTGTTACAAAGCTTCATTGAAATCCATTTGTTTAAATATAAGGAACTTGAAAACGATCCATACTTAGCTTTTTGCAATAACTTTTTATAGTGGCTTCGTAAAGATCTCAGTAGGTCTGTAATCAAAAACTACACAACCTTCCTATAAAACGTTTTTCGTAAAAGGCCCATTTTGAAAAGTAAGAGCAATGGGCGTTCTTGGCCACCATTTTTAGATAAGCTGAAGAAATAAATTACGAAATTTTAGTGCATCTGATTCACCATCTTTTTTTTGTACTGCTAGCAAATTTCAGCAAATATTTACAAAGATTCTGGATCAGCAAGTAAAATCACCAAGTTTTAACGCTGTTTATAAATTTAATATACCTTGAATCATCTTTTATAAGATTCAGGTTAAGGTTAATAAATAAAGCAACCAATAACGAACTGAATGGAAACACGGTGTTCACAATATTTTCCATCCAACAATAATTCTACGAAAATGCCGTGTTACGAAAGCTGCTGTCTTCCGAAACGACCCTTTCCATTTGAACTCCGTGCTGCTAGTAGTCGATAAAAACAATGACCTAACGACGGACTAACATTTTCTTTCAAGCACGCGGGTGCAAACAGAATCGGGCTTTGCTAACGAACAAGGTGAAACATCGGATCTCTAACAACAAGAAGAGGTGCTCACTATGAAAATGGGGAATCCTTACAACTTATTCCGTCTGCATTTGAATTTTTTATTATAACCCCATTTCTATACAACCTGATTAAAAAACGTCAACGGTAAAAAATAAAAAGTAATCCGAAAAATTCCCATGGAGATGGTGATTCAAGGCATGTTTCTACTTGAACAAGTTGCTGCCACATGTGCCGCGCGCATGTTGCACAACATGTGATTACAGCTTATTTAAATGGAATGTGCGACGACGTGTTGCAGACTGCAGGAACGTCTAGTACATGTTGCATACTGAAATATTTGTAGCGCAAGTTGCTTACATGCCGCAGCACATGTCATGAGCTGCAGTAACATTTGCCCTTTGTATGTGCCGCAACACGTTGCAAACTGTTTTCTTTTCTGGTACCTGACCAGGGTTGCCAGACTCTAAGATCCTTTTCTTATACCAGAGTCGTCAAGTTTCTCGTAAATTCAGAACATAATCTCCTACACAGTGGCGTATGTAGAACTTGAATTCTGCTGAAACTAATGGACCGGGAGGTGTCGTCTTGATACGACAAATTGGTAAATTGAAGAACACTGAGTGTAATAGACCAAAAAATTAGGGTGGTCTGTCTGTGAACTATATTTTTTTACAAAATAAAGATAAAGACGTTATAAACATAAGCTATATAATAATGAAATAGTTAAAGCATTTTCAGTTGGTTTATTTAGTTTGTCAAATACCTGTATGACCAACAGGTTACGAAACATCTACGCCTTGTCTGCTAGTCTGTAGTATGATGAATACGAAGTATAAATTGGGATATGATTCAGTAAAGTCAAAACTTAATGATGGTGTGTTTTTACAGCTGCAACATTAAAAAAATCGGTATTACAGAATAGCAGCACTGGCAACTATTGGCGAGCCGAACCAACTGGAAAAGCTAATAGTAGGCAAGACCATATATCGATATTTCTGAAACAATACTTCACCCTCGATAGTGACATGCATTATTATACTTTTCCACATAATTCTGAGTATGTAGCCATCATTCTTTAAATCTCGTACGAGCTTAATACAAATCTCGTATCTTGCATAGAAGCTTATAATTTTGTACATGTACGAGATTCCGTGTACGTCTGGAAACCCTGTACGTGACGCACATGATGCTGATATGAGCTGCTATTAGGGTTGCCATCCATTGGGCTTTTTACTGTCTGATCAAACCTTCATGTGTGTTTATACGTACCTACTATATTTATCACACAGTTTCATTATTAGTATAGTTATGTCAATTTTAAAAGTGTTTGTTCGGCTAAGGGCGGATCCAGATGGGGGTCGTGGGAATCAGGATCAACCGTCCAATTATCGCTTTTCAATTATCTATAAATCGTCAATATGTCATAAATAATGCAATCTAACGCTATATTCCTGCGTCCAAAAAAATTATCCAGGAGACAATGAGATGCAGTAGCGTCACCTATGAAAACTTGTTGCAGCTGTTCTTATTTACTATATGTACTTTGAAAGGGTTAGTATCTTAGAGATAGTGCTGTATCCACCTATATGCTAGTAGATATTCATATAGGCAGCACCATCTACGAGACACTAACCTGTTCAGAGTATAATAATTATGTAGTGAGCAGAGAAACAGCTGGGACAAATATTAGGTTGGTTATTTTTAGGTAGAATACGTTAATCAATGACTGACTCAAAGTTTGGAAAGGCCCTTGCTGCCGGCTTCATAAAACTTATCTTTAGCTATAAAAAGATAATGCCCGGCTTTAAGGGCCAAAAGTCTGACAAAATACATCGTCGAATCCTGCTTTTGTATTTTAGGAGATAACAACCCTAGCTGAGTTGGTTGCATTTATTGTAGTGGGAACCTACCTTTACTTAGATACAGGGCGTTGGAGTTGTATTTACAATTTAAAAAATAGATCTGCAGAATTCTACGTAGTATTGACAATACAAGCCATAAAATACTGAGTTTAAATGGTGTAACAGCTGGGAGACTTTCAGCTCTACACAAGAAAAAACGCTGCAACTGCATTTCTGAATGAGGTTATTTAATCTCATAAAAGTTGAGCCTTTTGTAAGGTTACTCTTTATTACAAAATTGGATTAGGATGTATGAAGTATATTATAATCCTAAAGCAGTTATACTTGGAAAACATGCTGGGTCAGTAAAGTTCAACATTGAGAACTAGAATAGTCTAAAGGAAAAGACTGTAGCGATGAGCAGCTAAAAACAGACAGCATTCACAAAAGACTTTCTTTGGTTATTAATTTACATACCGCTGGAGCAAGTTCAACATGTAAGATGAACGTGTCAAGGTCTTTTCTTCCCCTGTAATTGACTAATAAAAAGATCTTGTTGTATATCTAGACCTAGACGATAGGAGCTTACATATTTATATTATTTGCAATTCCGATCACTTTTAATTATAGTTGTGTAATCGGGGTGAAGAATAAAAAAAACCTATATACAGTTCCTGGACGTTTCAAGTCAATGTATAATCAGTATTTATCCATTTGTTCAGTGCAATGCAGAGTTATGCTCATACATTTTATTTGATTTTCAAAATTGCGGATTAGTTTCTATACATTTTTGTTAATTTTAGGGTGTAGTCGAAGAAATTATGTGACAGGTTCTATGATCATTCACAAAAAATTTAAATACTTCAAACTTCATTGTATCTACCGAAGTTTTTACAATCCTATGTTGAACTGAATCCTCCGAGCAAAAGCATCTGTGATAAGCCGAAAAATATTTTATATATGAGAATTCAGCTAAGTATCGTTGCCTAAAGAGAAACAATTTATTCTTTCAAACGTTTGGTCCGGATCTGTCTGTCGGTAATGTAGCATTTTCTTTCTGGCACGCGGGGGCCCGTGAACAGAAAAACCGGAAACAAAAGTGTAGCTTTCGGCACGCAATTCCGTGTTAGGTCCGTTTATCCGGAATGATCGAATTAATAAATTAAATTTTAATAAAATAACAAGATCGATGGCATACGAGCTTGTACGCTTATACTCGGCGAGGGATGAAATGGGCGCTATTTACATTTTAATTTTTTGCATCGCTAATATCACGCTAGCGATATGGAATTGAGTGCAGGCACTTTTTGAGGTGCTGCACGTCTTTTAGGGCCTCAAGCATGATCGTTCATTTTCCTGATGCCTCCTTAATCTGAGTTCGTTTGATTTACTTAGTGCCGTTTGACAGTTGGGGGCAGAGCTGTCACTATGGGGGTGTGAGTAGTATACGTAACTCTGTACTCTGCTTTAAGCGCTATCTGAGGAGAACAACGCATACTAACTGCATTAAAAATGCATAGTTGAATTTCTCCAGGCAAATTATGGTATGGAGTGGATGTTTTCTGAACTAGCTGAGGTTTGTACCGATGTGTTCCAAGGTATCTTTAATATGGTTAAAAAGTATAGAAACATCGCGAATCGAAACATAACCCATAAGGGCTTTCTTACTCATCTTGAACAGACACAAAATATATTATCTATGTATTCACTTGACTGTCGAATTTAATTTTGAAGAAGAATGTTCCTCAATGAACGGCCAGTCGCTTGTTTGCTGTTTCTAAGCAAATTCTACCAGTGCTTTGCTTTTTTTTAACACGCTTTTAATAGCTGTGCCTGAATGTATGTATGTATCCATGTATGTAGGTAACGAAATCTTTGAGCATAATTTTCACCAATTTCCAGAAGTTTGATTAATTTGAAACTTCGTACACGTATGAAGGACCGATGACGATGCAATAATTTGATAACAGTTTTCCATTATCATTATAAGAAAAATTCTGTAAAACGCAGATATGTTATTAAAAAGCCAAGGATTTCAAATGCCGCTTTACGAATACTGAAATTACAAGCCTCTGTAGCTCAGTGGCAGAGTACTGGTCTTGAAAACCAGGAGTCGTGAGTTCAATACTCACAGGAGGCAGATTGTGGTATGCATTTTTATACCTTTTTATTATTAGCTTGACCTGTATGTACAGGGTGCGGCAGAGAGGACGGACGTTCTTGGGCTGGGTAGTACTCTCCGCCTCCGTCTACGAGAGAGGTGGGGAGGGTGCCGTTTGACTCGTGAGATCCTAGCATTATTTTACCAGTTGTCGTTATGGAGCCTTGGATGGTGGAGCACCGCGTTTTCGCCTATGATTGTTTCATCCGAAATAATGAGTCAGTCATCGTCGTACAGCGTGAGTTTCGTCGCCACTTCAACATTCATCGGAATAGAGCTGTTCCCTTTCGAAACACCATCCTTCGTTGGGTTGAATCACTTCGCAGGTGTAGTGAACTGATCAACAGAAGACCAAGAGGAGCGCCGCGAACAGTTCGAACTCCTGAAAATGTTGAACGCGTTCGACAAGTCTTTCTTCGCAGTCCGACTCGATCTGCCCGGAAACATGCTGCTGCACTTCGCCTTAATGATCGTTCGGTAAGGCGAATTTTGCATATGGATATCTGCTTTCACCCTTACAAATTGGCCATTGTGCAACAGTTACAGCCCGGAGATTATGCACAATGAATGAACTTCGCACGTGAGATGGAAGCACTGATCGATCAAAATGAGAACCTCATTTTGTCTTATGGTGACATCTCAAGGCTAGAGTATACGCGAACAATCCCCGAACTCTGGACGAATTGAAGGGCGAAATTCGCGTGGAAGTCGCCCAAGTTGAGAGAGCGATGTTGGAGAGAGTCTACGCGAACTTCCAAGAACGCCTCCAGCACTGCATCAACGATTTCGGCCACCACATGCTGTCTCAAATGCTATTTCCTTGTGAACCTGATTCCATCAATAAATTTGTTTTCGAGTAAAAATTAACTGTTTTATGATTATTTTGAAACCGTCCATCCTCTCTGCCGCACCCTGTATGTATGTATGCGTGTATGTAAAGGAATCAAAAAAATACGCTTTTATAGCCAACCGAACCAAAGAGTAGAAAATAATTTTCAATTACAAAGCAAAAGTAAATAAAATTATGATGAAATTTAAGTTATTAACACAACAATTCAGGTTAGAGTAAAAAGCATTTTACTACATTTTCATAACTGTCCTCTCATAGATAGTTACCAACAGAATGATTCTAACATAAACCATTATTCAATAACGTATTCTCTTAGGATACTGTCATCGACCTTTACTAACAAAAATCATACATTCATGATGGCACTTCCATAGGTTGGGTCTAAGGTGCATGATGGCAGTTTTGCTCCCATGCGAAACAGTTTGGAAGAGCACTGTTCATGAATTTTTATCCCAAATGTGACATTATCTAGCTACCTATCAAAGTTGCATTTTTTAAACGTATTGTCTAGATTGATGTAACGTACTTTTGCGAAAAGTTGTGTGCTAAAAATCACAAAAATGTTACCTTGTTAGACGTAACAGTTTCTCATTCAATAGACCTCGCTCGATATTTGAAATACCATGATGCAGGAACTGAATTGCTCTTTTTTCATCCATTCAGTGAAAGGTCAACAAGAGCAGTTTTCATATTTTTTGCACTTTTACCATATAAGCAACATCAAAAAACACAATTAACCTTTTGAACAGCCGCAACCTAACGGTAAGTTACTAATCGAGCGTTTCAGGTAAGACATTTTTTTAAATCATCCAATTAATTTCTGGTTCACTGTTTTTAATTACCATTACGTTGTTTTAAAGAAGATAAATGCAAAGTCTTCATACAAGAGAACTGTATGAGATGTCTTTAGAACACATTTATTCTTTGTTCATGTATGACGTCATAACACTATCAATTCCAAGCCGGATTTTATCCATCGCTGCTACATTTCAATTATTTAAACTTTCCATTAGAGATTTGCTCCGAGACATGTTGCACGAAATTTGCTGGATTGGAAACAGACTGAACATATTGTCGGGGACAAGAATGCGCCAGTTGTTGCGGCGCGTAACATGTGCCGGAATTTGTAGGAATTGAAACCTTGAAAAGTTGACCTAATATACCCCATTTGTGATTCCGACAACCTCTCGAACTTGCCAAATATGAACAAAAATGTAAAATATCACACTCTAAATGAAATTTTGAAAATCATATTTAATGATCGTTTGATAACTCATAAAGTAGGATTTTAATGTAACATCTAAAACTTATCCCGTGGTTGTCGTGTGGATAATCACCCATGTTTCTCAAGCCAATCAAAATAATCTTATCGTTGTAATAGTAGGTCTAATTCTAACTGATACAGGCAAAAGAAAGAGCCATCAATAAAAGTATGCAGAACACTCGTGAATACATAATACAGCAGAAACATAGGAATTGCTCAACAGTCGACCAACGGTAATAATCACGTGAAAATGAAAACCAATATTTCGATGGCTTAGTACATATGGCACTGTATATTTGATTTCATACTTATTTTGATGGTTCCAGTTTTTTGCTGTTTCAGTCAGGATTAGACCTAGTGAACTTGATCATTTAACGTCAGGTTTATATGATAATAGTGATCGAAAAACGTCTATTGTTGTGATCTATTGGCGCATATCGGTACTACACTTGTACAATCAGGCATAAATAAAATGGCGTCTAGTACGTTGGCTCTGTACTTCCCACGTAACGATATCATTAGGTCATAAAAATTGTATTAGTTATTAGGAAAAACTACGAACATGTATAATAAATGAATTAATTGATCAAATTTTTCAGTAAGCCTCAAGTCCCGCCCATTTGGCAACATTAAGATCTTCCTGAACATCAAACACCCTGCTCCAGAGGTAGTTTTCCTCGGTGATTTCAGTGCCCATAATGAACTCTGGTTGGACTAAATCAAGACCGATGCAGCAGGTCGTGCAGTTGAAACGTTTGCTATTACCCAAGGACTGACCCAGCTGGTGACGAGTCCTACTTTCTTCCCGCGTTTCATCACACGCCAGTAGTCTGATGGATGTCTTTCTGACCATGCATCCAGTCCTCTACATCACTGCTGTAGGGTCTCCCCTGGATAACTCAGACGGCGGCGTTGTGGAGGTTAGGTTTTGGTCGGAACCGACTGTGTCATGGCCTCCTCAGTATGAACAAGGCCCAGATAAGACCGACCCTCTAATACTGCTCACATGTTTAGGGTGCTGCTGCCTCGATAACATTATACATGCTCGATGCTGCCCAGATGAGGGCTGTCTGGCATAACGGTGACTAGTCCCTAACGGACAGTCTCGGGACCCTTTCGTACCGGCGGGCCGTCGATCTAGCTCTCTTCTATCGCTACGCCAACAGGCTTTGCTCCTCAGAGATCACCTCTTAGATCCCGTCGCACGTTGTTCCTACCAGAGAGACAAGCCTGACTGCGGCCTCCTATCCTAATCGTATCGAACTGGCTGATACGACCGCTCTTTTGTCCCAGGATGTTGAGATTGTGGAACAATCTACATCTAGGGGTTTGTCGCACAGGTTTTCTTACCTTGGGCATTTCAAAAATCGGATTAACAAAGGTTCTTTAAGCTCCTCTTAGCTGCATCGGTGCCCTTGCATTTAGGCTTTTGCCTGCGCAGCTGCAACGATGTAAAGGAAACTAATCACAGTTGCGATGACTTAACATTGGCAGACACATAGGTCGCGACGGATTTATCTCTATCTCCGTTGCGCTTTCTTGGCGGATACCACCCAAAAATACGGAAGATTCTTATAGTTCTGTCTTAAGGGCAAATGTACGGGGAAATAGCCAAACAACTGAGAATTCCCTACAGTACTCACCTTATCTCCAAATTTTTTCTCCTCAAAAAATTGCCAAAAATGATCTCGACTCACAGAAACTTGAAAAAAAAAACAGAGTATCTTATTTTTTTCCTTTTATTATCCGTAACTTCGTCGACATTGGCTCAAATAGTTTCCATATTTCTAGAACCACGTATGTCCTAAAAATTCTGGCACAAAATATTTATAGGATTTGCTTAAATGAAATAAGTCATTTAAACGCTAACTAGCTATCTTATATTACAACTCAATACTTAACTAAACTAGTATCGAATTATGTGAATTGGTCCATTCTGCTCTACCAGACGCAACTATCTTCGAATGTCCTGGTCGGAGTTCAGCTCAATTTGTCTCAGTTTCTTGTGAATTCGCCATCTCAATTGTTCTTCATCTTGGGCTTCCCAGCCTCCATGATAAACTTTCCTAGACAGTGAAGCCCAAGAACCCTCTATTCGGCGAGCCTGTGGCAAGTTTGGTGGATTACCGTTTTTGGGAACAAAATGTATGTTGTATTGTGGAAGCCAATTTTGAGTATCTCTAGGGTAACGGCATGATGGAAAAACTATCATAATATGGTCATTAGCATGATGTCCATGGACAAACTGAAGCAATTTGCAAATGCAGTTATCAATATAACTTCACCCCTCACTCTTCCCACAAAAGGTTGGGATACACCCCTTTTACAAATTACGCACCAGACAAGGATCTTATCTGCAAATTTTGTTTGTATTTAATAGTGTCAGGGCATTCCTCTACGTTGTCCGTATAAGATCCGTCGTTTCCCTTCATTTCAGAATTGCTCAAAGTGAAATACTTTCCGTCATCTAAAATAATGATTTTTCCATTGTCAACGTGTACCCGCCTCAGTTGACCACAGCAGCTTGGAATACGGAGTTGCGCTTGCGAGTATTTGGGGCAGTTAAGTGTCTTCCGATATTTAAGACCATTTTTCTTCAATTCCAACGATATCGTACTCTTAGAGGATCTGTATTCATGAGTCTCCTTGTTGACATTCCAACCTGATTTTTTGGTCTTCTCACCAATCTCTGATCTCTGTGCAGTACATACTCGTGATCTTCCACTTTTTGGGAGATTCAGATATGGTATTCCCTGCTCGCACCCCGCTATTTTCGATAAATGGTTCTGCGTGAAATGTCTTCGTTCTGGAATGGTCGACCGATTTTACCTTTGGGTACCCGCGCTACCAACTTCAAGATACTTT